AAGGGGAAAAAGCATTTGGGATCCCCCAAGGCAATTCTTTCTCCAGAAGTTCAGCCTCCCTCCTCTTGGGCTGGGTCGAGTGAAGGACCTTTTTCTGGGAAGGAATAATGAAATGCTACAAAAATGGGAAAGGAAAGAAAAAAGGCCTAACGGTCCATTAACGATTCCCCGTTACCTTCGCTGACGGCGCGTTAGCTCAGAGTTGGTGCGAGTGGCCCTAAGTCCTGGAGTTGGAGGCCCGTGTAAGTAGGCAACCCACCGTGTTAGCCCCCTCCCCTTTTCCCCCCGGCAGACGGACGTCTAGATCCGCGCCTGGACTTTTTGAGCAGACGCCCTAGAGCACTTCGATACTCACTCGGGAGGGTCTCTACACTTTTCCCCCCCCCCCCCCCCACTGGGTTCCGCAGCTCGGCTGCTTCGCTTGCGCCGACAAGTTGGAACCTGCCCGGCTGGGAGAGAGCCAGAGTTTTTCTCGTCTTCTTGCTCTCTCCTCGCCCCCCGTTCGGCGAGCACACCGGCACCGCACAAGGGACCCGAAGGAACCTCGGCCGGCCCCCCACTACCCCACCTCCTTCCTCGGTCCTCCGCCACCTCCCACTCCAACCCCGGCACGTTGCGGACGCGGGCGGACGACGCCGACGCCTGCCTGCCTGCCTGCAGCGCAGTCGCGCGCGCACGCACTTCCGAGAACAGTCGCCTCGCTCGCCAGCCGGACACAGCAGCGCAGCAGTCAGCAGCAGGTAGATTCGGGTCGCGGGGCCTTCGAGGCGTACAGCGAGGTAGGCTCAAAGTGTGAAAGTGCGTGTAGGCGACCGTTTGCTCCGGGCAGTCTCTTCCTGGGGCCGATCCAACCGACGTCTCGAGGTAAGGGCCGTCCCACAGTGGGCTATAAACGGTGATGGCGGTAAAGACCCGGAACGTTTTTCCAAAGTAGTAAACGGATTTCCCGTGCTGGACGACCGATGGGTTTCCGAAGAAGAATTCATCGGCGGGGTCAGATCGGTTCGATCCAGGCAGCGGTCTATCAAAACGGTCGGTTTTTCCCCTCACGGTGGTTTTCTGGCCCACTGTAGGTCCGGTAGACGAGCCACGCTGTCTAGGAAGAGAGTTCGTGTTAGCGCTGCTGCGTAATCGTGAACGTTTTTGACTTGGGGTGAGCGTTGTCACGTTGTTTGAGAAATCTGAAACCGACTGCGCGACATACATTTGAAACCCTGCCAAGAATGCTCTTAATGATTCAAAGAAAACAGCGGCTTCGCATCCTAGGGAACAGATAATTGAAATAGTAATGGTTTTGTTTGCAACTGAAAGGAAAAGTCCTTCTCAGGCTGCGAAGAAGTTGTTCGTAAGCTCCGAAGGATTTTTCCTTCCTAGGGCAAACAAAATCCTTCGTATTACAAACAACGTCCTTCACAAGCTGCTGCTTTCTTTGTAGCTCGGAAGAACGTTCTTTGGAAGAATTTTACAGTGTTCCCGATTGGTGTGGGTCTGAACAAAGTTCACAGCAGTGGGCGCAAGGTGGGGTGCTGCTATTTCCTGCTTCTTCAAAGTCCTTGGGGGAAAAAATTTAAAATTTTTTCGGCCTTCCACCTAGAGCCAATTGAAACTTCGCAACTTAGGGAATTTTTCCGGGAAAACCCTTTAACTGTAGGAGGGATTTTTAACGTAAGCCTCGCTAGGGAACGGGCCCGCGTAAAGCTTATTATCTCTGTCGGTGTGATAAAAAAAAGTCACTTGCACTTCGATTCCTCGGAGAACAAGGACCGGAAGTCGGGCGTCCTGGACTTGGTGACACTCCCAGGGGCTGAGGGGGAATCGTGCATCTTTTTTCCCGGTCCATTCGCCCCCGAAAATTATCCCGGGAAATGTGGCCATAAGAAGCTCCCTTTTAACAGTGGGAAGGCCGGACCCCGTAAGGAGGCTTTTGATGGCCCCCCGGGGTAATTCCCGGGTTTTCTTTTCTCGAGGGGCATGCTGACCCGAAATAGTCTTTTGACGAGTTGGGCCAACCCAAGCCTTTTTCACCAGGGGTACGCCGTACTGCAGTTACAAGGAGGTCTCTGATATGCGACCTGATTTAGATGCGGTGTTCCTCAGATATTCTAACCAGTACGAATTTTCAGCAGGGGACCTAAGTCGCCTGATCGACCCGACTTCCGGTGCATTTCATGGAACCGAGTGCACCCAGCGAAATGATCCCTAATCGGGAACTGTGGCAAAAAGCTTACGGAAGAATTGCTGTAACAGACTCTGTAGGTGAATTCTCCGTACGCCTCCCTATCAATATTCTACACGACGTAGAGCTCTGCCACGCTATTTTCCGTGCGACAGCACAGTACCCTATCGTCCGTATGTAGACTCACATGTTACCAGCTGATCTTCCGTAGGACTTCGTGCCTCGGCTAATTGGTCCTCACGGCAGAAGTAGCAAAGTCGCGTGACTTCAAGAATCTTACGGCCACTCGAGAATTCTGATAATGCGATGTTTGGCTGACGGTCAGAATCATTGCATATAAATTACGACATGTCGCCGTATCGCTTTTGGTCCACATGGACCGACGTTTTATGCTAGCCACATTGGCTCATTGTGTTGACCATCGTTTCCAAAGAAGTCTGAATTCTGCTTCGTTATGACGAAGTAAGTGTAGGTATTTAAGAAGTGCCTCGTGTGAAGAGATGTTTGACTCGTGAATTTAAGCAATCCTTCATTGCTTTCGTTCTCTTCGTGTTACGAAACGAAACCCTCCAGACTTTCTACTGTGCGGAAGTCCAGTTGTGGCGGACAATGAACTAAAACGTCAAATATACTACCATTCCCTAATTTCACCGGAAGTCGAGGCGCATTGTCAAATCAGAACCCTAGATTTTCCTGTGTCATTGCCTGCACTATTGATTTAAAGAGGCCTCTGCCGGCAGCCGCCTGTGGTGGACCCTTTTGCTCGTCGCCGAGCAAAGAATTTATGCAATGAGGCATGTTCACTAACTTCTGGACCGGAAGTCAGAGAACAGAAGCAAGAACCAAAACCGCTTCGGCGCATGTGGGGATCAAACGCCGGGTACAGTTTCTTTCTGAATCTAAACCGGAAGTTTGAGGTAGTTTACGATCGTCGGTAGCGCGTCCTTCGAAATTTGTCCTTCACTCTCAATTAACCATCAAGTTGAGACCGTAACTTTTTTCATTCGGTCTGCCATTTTGAACTAGTTTTTATGGAAGAGGGTTCTTAGTTTTGAGGAGTAGCAACCACACGTAGAGTTTCCCCTCACACTCCAATGCATTCAGTGATTACTGATATCTCTGTTTTAGGCGCTTTTGCTGTCACCGAGTGAAGAACATCAATGATTTGTTACCCAGGAACCTGTGGGCACGTTCCTACTGCTTCCTGGGCTTGAATACTTTTGTTCTTCACTCGGCAGCGAGCGAAAGCGTCTATCTACTTCCTGTCCTCGTGTCCTTTACTGTTTCCGGTTGATGCAGTGCGTTTGTCCCCACTGCTATAGTCAGTAAGGTCCTTGTTCGTCTGGACACGTCTTAGCGTAACACGGCTCTGCCGATCCGCGCCCACCGCCCTTTGACATAGCACGTGGCTTTGAGTACCAAGTGTAACCCGGTACTATCGCCTGTTTTCGACCACCACGAGTCCCTGTCTGTCTAGTACTGCTGTTTCGGGGTTCTGAAGTGAAATATATACTTCTAGCAGGGCCTGGAGTGAAGAACAAGAACAACACTAGCCGGAAACAGTTGGCAAACGACGCTTATTTCTAGATGACGAATGTTTATTTTCAGCTCAAAAATTCAAGGAAGCCTAATCTTATTGTACAGTTTGATTTAAACCTGTCGAAACCCCCGGTAAAGGCCGATTTCTTGTACTGTTTCCGGTCTGTGTTCTTGTTCTTCAGTTCAGGCCCTGCTAGAAGTGTTCCTGTTGATCTCTAGGTTCCGTTGGCCTGAAAACACTTCGGGCATTTCCTTTTTTAAGGCTTTCGCACTTTCGGGAGCGAAATTTTGTCAGTGATCCCTTTTGTTGATCCTTTTGGTATTCTAAAGCTTGAAGTTGTGTGTGCACATGCAACAACGTCTGTTTAAATAGAACAGTTTCGGACTTCTTCTCTGAGGCAGATTCGCTCTTTCTTGCTCGTAACCATGTTGAGTTTGTTCACAGAAGCAGTTGGCGGACGGCGGTTCCTGTAGACTGCACCGACAAACAGCAACAACTCCAGCAGCACCATGGCGCCCGCTGCCAAGCGTAAAAATGTAAGTGTTCTGGTCGCGTACTCTGTAAGAGTACCATTAACACTCATCTCAATTCCATTTCGCTGCAATCATGCTGTATCTTGGAAGTGTGGCGGCACAAAGATTCGGGTTGCACGAGAATCTTTGACCTTGCCATCGCATATGCTGAACACCAGTGTTGTTTTCTTTCTGTTTCAGGCCAGCGAGGCCGGACCTTCCGAAGGCGGACTTGGCGCGGTCCGCAAGCAGATGCGACTTAGTGCCTTGGAGGAGGAGAATGCTGATCTGAGGGAGCAGCTGGCCGCACTTCAGGTAATAATTTTGATTAGTTAATCGATTTTCACGTCATTAACGTTGTTTTGTTGTTAGTGGCGAAGTTGGTTTTGGTCCTAATTTGATATTGGATGTTTCGTTTTGTCATTTCGTACATAAACTATATTGTCAGGAGTTTGGAATATCCGATTGGGTTTCTCGCGTGTTCATTTGCAGGCCACATGCTTTTTCATTTATGATAAATGGAAAGGTATGACCCATGTTTACACTTTGCTATCCAACGTGTCTTGTTAAGGGGAGGTTCTGGTGAAAATGCTATTTTCTCCTAAGTAGGTCCCACTGTGAAACTTTGTTAAAAATTTGATGTCTTATCAAGCATTTATTAAAAATTTTCATTGGGGATGCACATTCTATGCCCTGAACCCGTCGCAGAGCCTTTTTCTCCCATTTAGGCTATAACTTCAAAATTCTTGCGCATACTATTTTGTTGTAAAAGATTGGCATTGACATTTTTCACTTCTTCGATTCATTTTTAATAGATGCCGGCATTCACAACTCAAAATGTCAATTGCATTTTTAATATAATGGAAGTTTGGAGCTATGCATGCCGGAGTCTTTTGAAAATGAATCGAAAAAGTGAAAAATGTCAAGGCCAACCTTTTATGACAAAATAGTATGCGCAAGGAGATTTTTTAAGATACAGCCAAAATAGGCTCAAGAAGACTCTTCGACTGGGTTTACAGCCTGGCATGTGCCTTCAAAAGTTAAATTTTAGTCTTCTCGAAGGAAAATTTTATATTCCGAACAAATTATGACTGTGGGATCCATTTGGAAAATGGCAAGATTTTCACCAGAACCTCCCCTTAAAGAAATGTGCAGAACTTCTCGGTCACGGTGCCATGGATTTCAAGCGAAAGGTCAATTCTTTTCTGGAAAGCTTCTATATTTCCGAATGGTTTTAATTATGTGCTGTTAGGCTCTTAAAACCCTTGGCCATTGCTAATTTGTACTATTTTTAATTTGTGCGAATTATGTGAAGTCGTGGTTTGCATGTTAAAACCTACCCTCGTAGCATTCATGGTCACTTTGAACTAATTTGAGCGTATCTGTCTCATCCGAAGGCCCCGACTCAAGTCCTGAAGTACGTGGAGGCGGACCGCCCAGGTTTTTTGAAGAATCTAAATAAAAGCAAGGGAATCTTGATGTTGGACCTGTCCGATCTGAAACGAGGGACCAATAGCTTCGACAGCGGATGGTACGGCATGTTCCCGAAGTGGAAACCCGAGAAGAGGCTGGACGGAACGGTGGCAGCCATGGTCGCAGCCACCAACGAAGTGCAGGTAGGCACACTGGATACTAAAACCTGTGGGGATACTGTGAAAGTGCAGTTCTGCCCACTGTTAAGCTTATACACACTAACTTGATCCGGGAAGCAGAAGAAGGGAATATGTGACTTATCTCCAAATTAAGTTTCTCATGAGCATACTCGACTCCTAGCAGTTCAATAGACTGTCTGCATTGAAACTTAATTTACCTTTACTTGTCACCTTTTACGGTCTATTTTTCATTCGGAAATGAGGGAAGCTCAACCAAGTTCACATGCCCCTGTTGCACTGGTAAAGGTGATAACTCAACTTGTTTTTTATGAATCTTATATTAAAAGACTTGACTTAACTTCCTCTTCAGTAACCTATGTAGTTCGAACAACGAGGTTACCTCAAGAGTACCAGAGCAGTGTAGACTCTGCGCAGACATCAGCTCCACTTGAATTGTCTCCAAATTCCACCTGTGTTGGAGAACCAAATGCATGTGGTTGTGTTGTCCGTTCTAACGTCAAGATTCAAATCACTGGAACTTTATGGAAAAACACCACACTTAAGAAAGTTTTTGCAGATGCTTTTTTTTTTACTCATAAATTTTCATTTTCATTCGCAGAGTCTTCCCTGCTAACAGATTTTTGTTTCTCCCGGAAACTAATGGAAATTGAGTTCTATGGGATTGCAATTATTTGGTAATTAATTTAAACACCATTTAGTCCCATTCTCGTAATTTTTTAGGAGAAACAGGAAACCGTTTGCAGGGAAAACTATTGTTTAACAAATGAAAAATGCAAATGGAGTTACTGTGTATCCCCACCTTTCGCTTCATGGATTATAATTACCACCTTTCCTTTTTACATAGTTAAGCATGTGTACATGCTTTGCGAAGTACAAAGATGTGTGTTGTTGGTCATGAAGTAATTAGATTCATGCATAGGTTCTGTACTACATGTTTTTTTTTTTAATTTTTTTTTCAGGGTCTGGACCTTGGTGATGGAAGCTGGGCAGCCGAAGACCATTATGCCCAGGAGCTAGTGAAGATGCTTCGCAAGTACAGCAAGACGCTGACGAATGTCCGGGTGGCCTTGAGCACACTGGTAGAGCGGTACGAGACTGTCGCCAGCCTCAACAAGAAGGGACGCCACAGGAAATACGCCCAGATCACCATGGGCAAGGTATGTTCTCCCTCAACTGGACCTGTAAACTGCATACATTCTGTGTATGCATATCAAATCATTTACTGTATGCATGCCATGCATATACAACCAATGCTCCACATAAGTCCATATGCAGTATTCACGGCGCACAATAGCATATGTAATCTAATCAATGCATTGAGATCGTAGAAAGAACCAGCATTCACTGCGTAGATGGGCATAGACGAAACTTCTGCTGTACACATGGCATGTAAAATTTTTACTGTAAACAGCTGCTGCATCCATGGTATCCAAAATTTAGACTAAACAGCATGTAAGCAATGTTAACTGTATTCTTCAGCCGGTAGAGATTTGCTTTGTTTTTATAAAGCAGCTTCACTTAAGAACCTGTCACAGATGGGTCTGGTGAAAATCTTGTCTTCTTCTGCCGTGGAAGTTTGTAGGAAATTGGGGTCTTACTTGGTAATGTCACTAAAAGTTAAGCAATTTCTAGTACATTGTTCTTTCATTTGAGCCATTCTTGCTTTATAAGATTACGACGTGATAGACGTTTCGAGTTCTGGATGCTGGAATCTTTCTACTATAAACTTCAAAGGGAGAAATGTGAGAACCAACAGGCCAACTTAATACTGCATCAAGCATGCAGAATGACACAGCATGTATGTAATGAAATGCTCTTTGACCCGGTTTTCAGTATGGCCTGTGCTTCAACATTCAAAATTTAAATCTTAACCATGTTATACTTCATGTTTCTGGCTTAGTTTCACATGAGGACTTGAACTAGTGAGATTTTCACCAGGACCTCGCACAGTGGACGACGGGTGTAGACGAAAAAAATCCTGGATGTGTTTTGAGCTCCAGATTTTCTATAAATCGGACTCGAACCGAGCGTGGGGCCTCATCAGTAGATTCCTCGTTCGGAGAGCAATTAAATGCTGGGGTCACACGTTCGGTTCCAGGCCCTGGAGCTCAAAACGCGTGCAGGATTTTGACTGCCTCACCCTATATGTTTTTGCACCAGACATCACAGATTTTTGTGCACACGAACTTTTTGTACAAATCTGTACGCAATTTTGCTCCAAAAATGTTGAAATTTGTGCAGGTTTCCGTACCAAATTTGTACGAATAGATCGTGTGTTCTATAAACTGTGATGTCTCGTACAAAATTGTACATAAAATTTAGTGTGCTCCACCGGTCTTCTGGCACACTGTGCCTCCTCTTGACTTGAACTTGTCTCTCGCCTTGCAGTCCAACGTAATGAACGTGCTCGGGGGCATGTCGAAGCTGTCCTCCATGAAGCTGATCGTGAACTGCGTCGGCCGGAGCGACCACTGCGAGGTGGCGTACGGCGGCGAGTTCGCCACGGACGTGGCTAAGAAGAAGCTGTTCGGCAAGCTCAAACAGCTGGAGGTGTTCCTGACGGACGAGTGGGTGCGTGCCCACATGGGCGGCGCCGACGCTGAGAAGGCGGAGGACGGCCTGGGGTCGGAGGGCGGCCAGGAGTCGGATGACGACGAGGACCAGCCACCGCTGCGAAGGTGGTACGTTTTCATGCTGAGAGGAGTTTCTACCATAATTCTGTAGCTGTCGGACATAACAGCGTATCTTCTACACTGTAAAAAAAAATCCACGGGAAAAGGTGCAGGCACGGTCTGGTAGACAATTTGCCTGGTACCACCGTAACTCAGCCAGTACGGCTTTTGGGGTACGGAGTACGGCTTTTCATAACAAGGGCTCTTATGCCACTGTGTCATTAAGGTACGGAAAATTCTGTTAATTTTTTTTGCCAGGATTCTCCGTAGCCCTATTATCAATTTTCTCCGTAGGCTTTTACAGTATTCTCCGTAGGGCCTGCAAGACTGTATAGTCCTACGGAAAATACTGTAAGCCTACGGAGAATACTGACAAGGGGGCTACGGAGAATTACCACAAGCTGTTAACAGAATTTTCCGTAGCATTTTGCCATAATGTACGGCTCTGCCCTGGCCGCTGGGTGCTCCGTAGTCGTTTCAAATACCCAATTCTGGGTAGGTAGGGAAGTCCTTCGCATCTGTGGTTTCACAGTGGGGCCGCGCCCTTTTCTTCGCTGCTGACCGAAGAGGCGGAAGTGTCTTAGTGTCTGCATTCAAACTCTTATGCACTCTAAATGTTGTACATTGAAGATTCTTCCTGTTACGGTGAAAATGTTCCCTTTTATGGTGGTGCAGCTGACTTCATAACATTCCATTGAGAATTCACTGTAGTACTTAATAGATCTTTTGACGAATGAGTCATCATCTGACAGAACAACGTATCTTCATAGGGAATTCCACAGGATATAAGCCGTTATGTACGAATGCCACACGAATTTCGTTGGTATTATGGAGAAAATCTCCATCACAACATGTTGGTGCAGCCTTTCACCGTTAGACATTTACAGTGTGTGTCTGCCTCGTGCTGCAGGACCGCCTACAAGCCGCCTCGACGCGACCAGCCCGACGCCATGGTGTCCGACCTGCTGCGGTGCCGCGGCGACGTGATGGCGCACCTCGACATGGTGCCGGTGCGGCAGGCCCAGGCCGAGTCCCCCTTCGTGGCGCAGATCGCCAAACTCGGCAAGCTGCGGTCCATCGCCCTGCAGGCCGACATGCTGGCCGTCACCAGGTGAGAGACACTGCACTGAAAAACCAAACGTGGTCTAGACCACACCACTGGTGTGGTCAAATGGATGCCATTTTGACCGCATCAGTTGGTGTGGTCTAGACCACGTTTGGCCACGTTCGGTGTGGTCTGGCACCCTTTTTCACCACACCAGTTGCACTACAAACCTAACTGTCTACCAAGTACACACTTTCAAATGCGTGCTTGCAAGTACACACTTACAAACGCATGCTTGGCCAAGTACACACTTACAAATGCATGCTTGCAAGTACACACTTACAAACGCATGCTTGATGCATGGAGTTATACGGCGTCAAGCATGCGTTTGTAAGTGTGTACTTGCAAGCATGCATTTGTAAGTGTGTACTTGGCCAAGCATGCGTTTGTAAGTGCGTACTTGCAAGCACGCATTTGTAAGTGTGTACTTAGTAGACAGTTAGGTTTGCAGTGTGGTGTGGTCTAGACCACGTTTGGTTTTTCAGTGTGGACGACAAGGATGTGGTGAGGTGCAGTGGCGGATCCAGAGGTCAGAGGTGGACTGAGGGAGATCATGTACCATTTTTTGCCTGTTTGTAGAGGCCTAGAGTTGTGTTTTGCCTGCCTTCCTGCTGGTCTTGTGAGGGTGGGGGAAAGGCCCTTTAGCCCCCCTCTGGATCCGCCCGCGCTTAGGTTTGTGCCCTTGGAAGGGGCGTTACTTGACATTATTTGAATGCCCTTACCCTCATCTTGAGGCATTTATTTGTCTTAACCCTCTTGAGTGGTAGTAAGTGGGCTCTCATGAATATTGTTTCATGCCTTCACGATTGCTGCTTGTTGCATCTATATCTGTCGTATTCCAAGAGGAAAGTTCCACGAGGACAAGTTTGTAATTCATGAATTAGTTGTTCAAAAACAAATATTGTTAGTGTCAATTATTGTATCTCAATAAATACTCAGTTTGTAATGCCTGCGACACATATTGACTGAGTACTTTTGTCGCAAACTTAATTTTGCATGACTCAACTTCTAGCTATAGTAATTTCATTATGACTTGGAGAAATCAAAATTAATTATGATTCCAATATATTTTTTCATTTACATGAACTTAGTTACATGCAGAGGGTAGTAATAACAGGTGAAAACAAATTTTTCGTCCTTTGACTAAATCTTGCTTTCCAGGTTCAGCAAAATTTGTTTTGCTTTGGTTCATGATGACATACATTGCTTCCAAGCAAATAAATTTTCTCTTAGTTGCTTTTATCTTTTCATCTCTGTCAAACAGTGTAGACTTTTATATCCGTTAAGGCTTAGTTTTTGTGCTAGTCTTTTGACAGTGTGGATGAAGGGGCTTAATGCATTGAGCTATGGTCACAATTTTTTGAGAAAACACTTGGCATTTGTCTCTCTTCTTCACTCCCGTGGTCTTTTTCAGGAAAATGGGCAGTCTGGAATCCATAGAGCTGCATTTAGATGGGCGGCTCTCTACAGAAGCTGTAGAAAAGCTCTCTGAGCTGTTAAGTACAGTTCAACCGCTGCAGAAGCTAAAGAAGCTTGACATCAAGCTTCGACAGGCTCGTGTTGGAGAACAGGTGAGCCATTCTTTAAATCTGTGATAGGACGAAAGCTTAAGTTAAAATTCTAAATTAAATACCTGCTCTTACCAATTTTGCTGTGGAGGTTTGGAGAGGCTTTCAAAAGAATACCAATCTTGCTTTCATGCCATTCTATGTAGATTTTGGGCTTACCGGGAAATTTGGCGGTTATTTGGAATTGGACGTCTGTGTCACCTTTTTACTGACATCACCTCCCTAATCTTGTTGCATGAAATTTCGTGCTTCTGAGAGTTAGAGGCTTTAATATTCATGACAAATTGGTTGGCAAAGTTGGGAGCATTTCACAATCACCTGTTGAATTTTAATAACTCATCTTGTCTGATTTAACAAGTATTTGTTCAATTTCAGTTCGGGATTCACTTAAGTAAAAATACTCGGTCTTTGTTCTTTGTCCTTCTGGCTCTTGTTGTTTTTATTTTTGTTGTATTGACATTGACAAAAGACAGTCTACATATATTTTTGTTGCCAACTTAGGAATACAAAATTGGATAAGTTTATTCTAGTACCAACTTAACATTCTCAACACTCCCCCGTAAACGCAATACAATTTTGTTTGTTGTTAAAGAAATATTTGGCATAGAATTATGAAAATATAAAAGTATAAGAATATAAAAATATAAAAGATTGATTAAAAACATGAGAGATTATATAAAAAATAATTAAGTACAATGGCACAAATATAATGGCACATTTGAGTATCAAAAGATTATATAACTTTAACAATTAAGTCTTGATTATTTGGACGAATTATTTGGACGAATTTCTTAACTTTATATGACACTTTCAGCTAATATTATTGTCATAATAGGAACATCTACAACATAAGCTCTTTGGCAAACTTGTCAAATTTGGTATGATTCAATGGTTTTGTGAAGATATCACTCACGTTATCTTCTGACGGTACATACGACATTTCAAACAACTTTTTATAATACTCATCTTTTATAAAGAAGTATTTGACTTCAATATGTCGACTTCTCTTCATCCGTCCAGCCTTGATAAGTTTTATAGTACTCTGATTGTCAATGTGAAGTGTGCCTTTGACTTCTTTTCCTGTCAGTTCTTTTAGCAGTTCCACAAGGTACTTTAATTCCTTCACACACTCACATGCTGCAATCAGTTCCGCTTCCATGGTTGATTGTGCTACAACGGTTTGCCTTCTTGAAGACCAGGCTATCGGTCCTCCATACAGGGTAATAACATATCCAGATGTGCTTTTCCTTCTTATCTCTTTGGTTTTGTCTTGTTCTCTTGAGTCTACATCTCCTGCAAAATCTGCATCACAGTAGGCAATCAGATGTAATGTTTCTTCATTTTTATCTTCTTGACTTCTACTATAGAAGATTCCATTTGTTGTTGTTCCTCTCAAATATCTCAGTGTTCTTTTAAGATTGATATAATCTTTCTTCTTTGGTTGTTCCATCGAACGACTCATATAGTTCACAGCAAAACTCAGATCAGGGCGTGTTTTGCATGATAAATATAAAAGACTTCCTATACCCTCTCTGAAGTTGATATGTGAGTCTTCTACTTCCTCATTATCTTGATCATCACTTCTGTATATGTCTTGATTTAGTGGAGTCTTCATTGGATTTGCCCCTTCCATTCCGAATTTCTTGATCACCTTCTCTGCATAATTCTCTTGTGAGATTATTATACCTCCTTCTGTTTTCTCGATATCCATTCCAAGATATGTTTTTGGATCTTCATTTATAGTCATCTCAAATTCTTTCTTCAATTTGTCTTGCAATTTCTTGATACATTCTTTATTTTCTCCAATTATTATTCCGTCATCAACGTGAATAGCCAGATACAAATCACCCTCTTTTGATTTGAAGATACAATTATCTGACTTTAGTTGTGTCATGTTTTGTTCTCTTAGAAATCCAGTGAATCTTTTATTCCACTGGCTTGGTGCTTGTCGGAGTCCATATAATGATTTCTTCAGCAAACATATTTTACCAGATTGTTCAAAACCTTCTGGTATTTCCATGTATACTGGTTCTTCTAGCTCTCCGTATAGAAAGGCTGTTTTTACATCTAATGTTTGTATACTCCAATTCCTTTTGGCAGCTATAGCAAACAACAGTCTGAGGGATGTTGTATCTACAACAGGACTATATATGTTTTCATAATCCATCTTATTTTTGTCCTGTGCACATCCCTTAGCCACTAAACGTGCCTTGTATGTGCCATCTTCTTTCACTCTTAGCACCCACCTAGACTTTAGTACATCTTTCTTCTTTACCAGATGTTTGTCTGTGTAGGTCCAAGTGTTATTCTTCATGAGAGATTCTTTCTCACTTTTAATTGCTTTTATCCACTGGTGTTTCTCTTCAGAATTTACAGCTTCCTCATAAGTAAGTAGTGATTCAACTTCTGCAAAGTCCATTATGTAGTCGTTATATTTTGATGGCATTTTTCTTTCTCTTCTTGGTCTTCTGTTATTTTCTCCCCTTAAGCTTTTCCCTCTCTTTAAAGAAGGTAACCTACTTCGCATATCTGTCTGTATCTTCCCCATCTCTGTCGAAAACTCACCTAGTCCAGGATTTGCTCCCATTCCACCGAGCATTCCACTCAACTTGTCCACCAAATCATCGAGGTGACGTTCTATATCGGTCAGTCTATCACTCATGGTGTGAGCGGTCTTTTGCATCTTACCTATAGACTGGACCAAATTATGGAATTTGTCTTCAGCTGTGTCAAGCCTCCCGTTTAACGCCTTAAGTTCTAAACTTTTCTGCATTGAACTACATAATAATGTAAGCTGCAAAATGGCCCGCAATATACGCGACAACATGAGAATTAGAAGATCCACCCATTTGCTTATGGTTGAAATAACGCTACCTGCCTCAAACTTATCTTTATACTTTTGTTTGTGTTGATCTTCACATTTCTCAGGATTCCAACACTTTCCATACTCTTTGAAGGTTTTACACGACATTTTGGACTTTATATGTCCTTTCTTGCCACATCCATAGCATGTAATTTCTCCATTACCTTTTGATTCTGCTTTGAAGGCCACTGGTTTTTCTTCTCTTTGCATTTTATATTTATCTTCCTCCAACGTTAGTCGTTGCATTAAGTTCTCAATGTTCTTGTCATTCTTCGATGTAGAATCCCAAGCTGTGCTGAAGTGTTTGAACTTTTCTGGCAGGACTGTTAGAACTTTTGACATCAACATTGTTTCTGTTATTTCTTCTCCCAAGGCTGTCAACTGATAAACTATATTCTGCATCTTGCTTATATTCAACTGAACATCCTTGGCAGTATCAAATTTATAGTTATAAAAGTCTTGTAGTAATTTACATTTTTCTTGATCAGTTTCTTTCTTGTATATTCTCACCAGAGTATCATACATTTCTTTTGCATTTTCACATGCCAAGAGATGGAGTTTTACTTCTTTGTCAATGGTTTTCAGAATGACATGTTGTGCAATAGCATCTTTGGTCTTCCACTTGGCTTTCTTCTCATCGTCTCGTCCACAACCAGCAAGTGTATTTTCTCCAGTCACAATCTCCATGAGTTGCTTGGATTTGAACAGAATTTTAATTTCAAAATGCCAAAGTGAAAAGGTAGCACTGTTTTTAAGTTTCGTGACACTGGCCACATCTTCACTGTCGATTTTCACAGTAGTGCTCGCCATTGTGTGTAGCACACAAAGGACTCACACAAAGGACTCAGTTTTTCTTCTTTCACTTTCACTTCAACACACTTCTTTTCTCACAAGTTTTCACTTTTGTTATCAGGCACGGCCTGGGCCCATAACCTGTTGAATTTTAATAACTCGTCTTGTCTGATTTAACAAGTATTTGTTCAATTTCAGTTCGGGATTCACTTAAGTAAAAATACTCGGTCTTTGTTCTTTGTCCTTCTGGCTCTTGTTGTTTTTATTTTTGTTGTACAGTACAATCCGCTTAAACCGTTTTGCCCGATTGCGCCGGTTCCGGACGTCTTAAGCGGAGAACGTTTTAACCGAAATTCGAAAAAAATGATTGAAAAACGCGTTTTTTTGCCGTAACTCAGTAGAGAAGACTGAAAAGACTCTAAAAATGCTTTGTTATGAAATCTTGAGTGGTAATACATTTAATGGGCTCTTGTCCAGCTCTCAGAACGCCCCGTGTTGTGACTTGTCGCGCCGCCCGCGCCGCCGCCGCCGTAGCCGAGCACCGGGGTAGAGTGGCAAGGGGTAGTGGCAGCGTGGAGGTGCACGCGCTCGACATCGGAACGCAAACATACGCGTATTCGGCGAAAAAAGCGCTTCTTTAACGGTGCAAAACGGTTTAAACGAATGAAAAACGGCCCGAAACAACGATAAAAGCGGAGAAACGTCTTAAACGGAGACGGTTTAAGCGGACTCCTAATGCATTGTTTCGGCCTATGATTCGAATGTAGAATCGCTCTGAGACGTCTTAAGCGGAGAAACGGTTTAAACGGATACGGTTTAAGCGGATTGTACTGTATTGACATTGACAAAAGACAGTCTACATATATTTTTGTTGCCAACTTAGGAATACAAAATTGGATAAGTTTATTCTAGTACCAACTTAACATTCTCAACATCACCTGTTGTAATTGTAAATGGATTGGAGTACTGTATGCTAAAGTAAGTCATCTCCTTTCCATACTTGTAACTAGAATCTGTCCATGCTTACTCTGGAAATTTCTTTCCGACATTTTATTTTTATTATTATATATTTTTCTGCTAATGTGTTGATAGCAATGTGGTGTTATATGAACTGAGGACTCTCCAAGAATCCGCATCTCTTTTGTTTTCTTTTGAGAATTGTGTAACGTATATCAGAATTGGCACACATCATCATCTTTCTGTGTGTCATATAGACATTGTGTGGATATTAAAGGATACTTGCTAATTTGTCACTCTCCCAGTGATATGCCTACCAAGCATTGCTTGTCAACATGAAAGTATGTAAAATGACAAAGAATCTGAATCTAATGCCAAGAAAACTTGGGCACTTTTAATTCTGCGTGGAAATGCTTTGTATTGTGACGCAGAATTTTCCGTTAAATGAAGCTTGCTTTCGCAATATTAAACAATTCTTCATTGCCTTCATTTTCCTTGTAGTTCAAACGCTCCTAAAACTGCACTAACTATTTTAAGCTATTCAAAGGAAAGGTGCTTGTTATATCTAAGTATTTTGAGCATACATTAACTGACAAAGAAAAGACTTCTTAATTTACGAACTACTGTCTTTCTTCGTATAACTAAGTAAAATAGTCTGTGAATGCTTAAATCACTCCGGAAGGTTTCAAGCGTGGAGCAAATGCTATGGAGAACTGTTCTTTTTGTTTTGTTTTTTGTAGTTGATTCACTTCTGAAACTCATCTCTGTTGCAGGTGTGCCCGCTGCTGGCGGCCGTGGCGGAGAACTGCACCCGCCTGGAGGTCTTCAAGTTGAACGGCAGCGGCTGGCGGCAGGAGGACGTGAGCGCGCTGCTGCAGGGCGGCGCGTCCGAGTCGCTCCGCGAGCTGCACCTGGACCAGTGCGGCGCCCTGGAGGCCGTCCACCTGCCCATGATCGCCGCCCTGCCCAAGCTGGCCAAGGCGCGTCTGCCCAGCAGGCTGCTGGGCCAAGCCGGCGCCGCGGCCGTCAAAGAGCGCGGGCTGGACCTGCGTTGGCAGTACTAGTGTCCGGACATCGTGTGCGCTGCCGGGGCTTAGACTGTGGTTGTTCGGACGTCTGGATTTTGACAGTGCTAGTTTGGACTCCCTGTGCTCGGTCTGGACCTTGACAGCACTAGTTTAGACGCCCTGTGCACTGTATGAACTATGACAGACAGCGCTAGTTTGGACGCCCTGTGCACTGTATGAACTATGACAGCACTAGTTTCGACGCCCTGTGCTTAGGACTTTGACGATTTCAATGGTGAATGTTGTTTCAAGGTAATGGAGGTGGTTAGTGCCCTCACTTTTAGTGTTAAGTATTGATGAACTATGTGAGAAGCTGTGTTTCAAATTACTTTTTGGTTATTTGTATGGTAAGTGCAGACTGTTGAACTTTCGTTCAATGAAAGTTAAGCGGTTGCTGCTGCTTGTACCTGGTTTTGAACAAACTCGCTTTGCATTCCCTTTTGGTTTCTGATTCTAATACTCAATGTAGATTTAAGATTAATCTGATGTCATGGGGTTGAAGACTTCTTGATTGCAGCTAAGTTGAGTCCTTAATTTTAGTTCCTTATTGATTGACTACTTAAGCGCAGCTGCGTTTCAAAAAATTGTCGGGTACTTTGTATGTATAGGGTCTTTATGACACATGTTGAACATTCTTTGATGGATGTAAGCAAGCAGATAATGCTTCTATTGGAAACCTGACGTTGGACAAATTTAGCCTGCATTTCTGTTTCCTATTTATTCAAATGCTCAATGTAAGTCGTGACACTCACTGTATGTAATGGTGTTGAAACATTCAATTATTCTCGCTCATTATTACAATGTTTTGGCCCTTACTGAGCACCTCGGAGTTTTTCTTGAGGTGGATGGTATGCACTGCTTTCCGTACATGATAGGCAATTTTAGTTTATCATTGATGAATATCTGTGTTCTCTCAGTGCATTCCAATAAATGTTTCATTTCGTAGCTGGTCTTGATCTTGTCTTCGCCTTCTTGCCCCATGTAACTCTTTCTTTTCTTTTTTTGACGTATTACAGTGGTATCACTGTCGTATGAGGACCTGAAAAAGCCAGGGCGCAAACGTACTAGTAAAATCAAAGCTTCCCAGTGAATATTGATCCACGTCCAATCGTATGTGATATAGCCTAATTTAACGACCGTGACATCGCATTTAGACGAACGTGACTAGCTTCACAACTTGACTCGAACAGATAAAAACTCAATGAACGGCTTCGTAATGTGAAGAAAATGAAGGCATTGCAAAATGTAGAGAAATGATTCGTGGCATGAGGCAAAATCATTCCCAATATGAAGTGTTCCTTCAAAATTAAAGGCAATTTTACAATGCCGTCATTTTGATCGCAGTTAAAAAGCAGATCCCTTGCAGACTTTTTCGAGCACGCTTCAAACCTTAGAAGTATTTTGCAGTGGCGGATCCAGAGGCAGCCTATGGGGGAACAAAGTAACGCTTTATGCCTACTTACAGCGGCAAAGTACCACTCTTTTTCCGCACTTTTCAGGCGGCTATCGAGGTGCTCTGCGGCCGCCCACCCGGTATCGCGTCTCGTAATCTCGTAATTTGGGCATTTTTAAACGGTGCAAACTATTTACTTTGCTATACGTTAATTGGGAAGTATTTTCTTAGTAAGCCTATGCATGCTCAAAATGCTATGTTAACAAGCTGCTTTGCTTCGAAAGGTCTAAAATACAATTAGTGAAGGATTTTCAGGGTTAGTACTGCGTAAATGTTACTCTTCACTTGGTGACAATTTCAAGGCTAATGTTCCTTCAGAGTGTCATCAGACATTGTTGTCTCGTCCATGCAATAAGTACACAGGAGCTTTGATGAGAACGGCACCTATTTGTGATGAGACCATCATCACGACTTTGTCATAAAGTGTCATCAAATTTGCAGTGTGGCGTCAAAGTCGTGGAATAACAGTAAGATATTTCCCCACGGTGCGGCACGAGGCTGTCCAGCGAGGAGCATGTTTTGCGAAAGTCCTGCCGGGGCCCACCCGGGGCCAGCCAGAGAGGACGGAACAGAGAGGTATAACTCCCATGCTAAGCCGCTCCGCCAATTTCGTCGGGCCCGGCGGCCGCGCGCCGACGGTAGCGCACCTAGCGGTGCGTTCGCGCGCTTTTTGGCTGGAGCTCGACACGGCCCGGTCGGCCCGGGCCGCGCCGTTCGTTTGAATGCGCGTTCGCGCCGCCTGGCGGCCGGGCGGCTGGCCCGGTACCCAGGTTTTTGGACTGAATTGTGGTTGATCCTGGCCAATTAAACTGGTTTTGGTGTTTGAGATGCATAATGGGCTGCTTCGAGTGTCAGTTGGTGTGGTTTTCAAATCTCTATTGCTCTTTTCCACTGTTCTATAGGAATGAGAAAATAGCTTGTAAGCTTACTCCACTTTTTTTTTTTGGGGGGGGGGCTAGGGCAGGCTTGTGGAATGAAAATGAGATATTAAAACAAAAAGGAATGTTTAATGAAAACATTAGTCTCAGGTACATCACAACATTAACCGAGTCAAAATTTTAAATTAAATACTACATGTCAAATGAAAACAATTATCACAGATTATATCACAGATCACTAATTGGCAATCTTCAGTCACAAGTTAAACGGAAGGATCAGTTGGGGAGCCCGCAAAACACATCATCGATCTGAAAAGAAATAAGAGACAGAAATTAGCAAACGCACGATGGGGAAAAGGAAGAGCCAGTGAGAAAACTAAGTCCATAATGGAACGTACCACTTAGAGCAGATTGGTGGATAGAATAGAGTCAACAGCCTCCAGTAACACCTTCATCCTCTTGGAGTTAGGGAAGGTGAGGACATCACCCCAAGCCTTAAAATCAAGAGCCATCTAGAACAAGAGATAAAAAAATATTAAGTATATTGTTAAGTTCTACAAATACTTGTGACAGGAAGTTCAATGTGTGGCTAAAATTCAACCATTAATAGATTAATTCAATCCCTGAGTTGAGGAACCCAGCTCATATTGGTCTTTGTGCTGTGGAGCTTTACGCAAACTTTAAGTCGATTTCTTCCAAATTCTCCCTATGACATATGGGAAGGTACGCAGTTTGCAGATTCTGGCATTTGAACCTTTACATAGAAAGGAGAAAGATTTGGAAATATAAGCCCAGTACAAGGTGTGAAAGCCACTTTTCTACTCTTGTTTTTATTTTCTTCAAATTTGAGATATCTTGTCACATTTTGTTCTTATTTGTTGTTTTTCAGGAAAACAAAGGAGGGTGTAAAAAAAGGGGCAGCACCACCTTTATCTAATACTAAAAGAGATATAAATGCCTCAATTAAAAGGCTGGGGACCATTTTCTGTGTCTTTAGGAGATTTTGGGGGAATCGACTAAAAGTTTGCGTAAACATCCATAACTCAGAAACTAAAAAGAGGTGGGGTTCCACACTTTCAGAATGAGTCTATGCAATAGAAAGCAACTTTTATTCAAAAATTGGTATGTTTGGGACATGTATTTAAAAAAGTGAAATGATAACTTTTTTCACTTAGGAAAAACAAGAGACCAACAGGGCACAGAGTTGAGGTTATGAGTTTAGGCCACTCGGCCGCAAAGTCACTTGAGGCCGCTACACACTTCAAAAAAGTTGCTATGATCATAGATAATGCACTGAGGAGGGACTTTATAAGATAAAGGAAACACCACGGAATTGAAAAACTCAAAACATATCACGAAATGTTAAGTACAAGATGGACGCCATAACTAAGCAATGCCGGCTGCGTAGGCCTGTTTCGGCAATCGCCGAATTTCATTACATGATCGAGTAAACCGGGGCGCCGAGGAATGGAGAGGGATTCACAATACGGCAGTTTCAAGAAAGGAAACTAAGGACTAAATTCCAAAGAATTTAAATACTTACCGCAACAAAAATAAACAAGTCCAACGACGAACACAACACGGAAGACACGAGCGCACTACTGCTGCAACGAAGTGGCGGTCGGCTCGGAGCCGAAGGAACTTCGGGAGGCCCCGAGCAGGGCTGGCTCAACGAATATTAAACTAATATTTCATGTCCCCTTATTTTTATTAAACTAGCGTTCAAGCTTTTTCCCCTGTTTTGCCAAATGTAATAGCTATTAAGAAATTTTAAAAATAATGGCGAGTTGGGCAAAAGACGCCAACAGAAATGAAGTTTTTTGTGTCGTAGGTTGGCTACCGTGTTAGTTCGCGCGCCCCGCGAGGTTCGGAAATTGGCGGAGCGGGCCCTATCCCAGTTATACCTCTCTGTTCCGTCCTCTCTGGGGCCAGCCCCACGCGGGGCTCGAGCCGAGCGGAGACGAGCCGGAGCTCAGCCGGACCGTGTACCTGAGCCGGGCCGGGCCCGGACGGCCCGGACGCTGGGTACGCGGAAAATGCCGGTCGCCGTTAGGCTGGACTTCGGCCGCCGGAGGGTCGCCGCGATTGCCCGAGGGACGCGGTCAAACGCAGCGGTGGATCCCTTCGCCACAGGCTAGCTCAGCAAACTGAAGTGTTTAGTGTGCATAAGACACTCTAAAATTAACATTCGTTGCGTTTCAAACCCTGAAATGTGGACGTAAAAGGTGCCGACCAATCAGGGAGCGGCGTAACACATCGGTAGCCTCCTGGGCATGAAGCAATTGGTCTATGGATTTGCTTGTCTGCACTGGTTAAAGAAAGGCATAAAAATAACGCCCTTTAGGGCATAAATACTCTTACGCCCTTCGCAAGGGCATAAATCGTTTAATGCCCTTTAAGGGCGAAATCGTTTACGTCCTTAAAGGGCATAATTTTTATGCCTTTGTTTCACTAGTGTGTGCTTTGTTTACTGTGCGCTTCGGAATTTTTCCGGCTCCCCGCGGTCAACAGCAGATGTACTGGCTGGTTCTAGGAATTTCCCGCGTCGAGCGTCTACTTGTTTGCAGCGTTTGCAGAGTGCCAGACCGGGCGCCTTCGGTCGGATGGACGCGACCGTATCGGCAGAACTTCGGGCGCACTTCGGGATTTCTTCGGGTCTGCAGGGCCGGCCGGGCGCCTTCGGGTGCCTCCGAACGCTCTCGGGCGTGCCGTCGTGCCCGACCCGACCCGATGCGCCGAGCCGAACCGAGCCGAGCCGAGCCGAGCCGAGGAGGGAGAGGAGAGAGGAGGCGAGGCCGCCGCCGCGCCGCCAGCGCCAGCCGAGCCGCCGCCGCCAGTTCAGTTCAGTTGTCGGGCGGGGCGCTGCAGAGCGAGTCACATCGCAGCACCACATCCGTGATCGATCAGCACACTGAAGACTTACGGATACTGTGTTTGTAGGTGACGGCTAGTTCCGTGCAGCCATATTACGGATCAATTTCCGTTTGTAAAACGGATGGCTTTGGTCCGCAACTTCCAGATAATTTTGTTGTAATTTCCTGACATCAAAACCTTTGTATTACGGACCAAAACATCCGCATTTCAAACAAAATTCGATCTGTAGTATGGCTGCACTAAACTGTACGTAACCTACAAACACGGTACTGTATCCGAAAGGAGTTTAAGGTGTGAGCGAATTTGGGGAACGCACGGTACAAAGTCTGCGAAGCATCGGTTCGTATTACGAAGGAAACGAAAGCAATGTTAATACTACGAAGAATTGCTTCGTGTTACGAAGCAAAATGTTTCAAGGTACGAAGCATCTCTTCATATTGCGAAGAAATTCTATTGTTCATTCCTTTTTTTCGTAGTTGAGTCCTCACGGATGCATTGTTTGAAGGTTACGGATAGTTTTGTGCAGCCATGTCATGTTATGTTTGTAATGCAGACTATTTTCTCCGTTGAAATTTTTTGAAATACGGACAAAATCATGTGTGTTACAAACGAAAGTGCGTCGGTGTTGAGGCTGCACAAAACTATCCGTAACCCACAAACTCCGGAGCCGTAAGGACTTTGGTAAGCAGCTTTGTAGGCTTCTTTGAGTGCGTGTACAAGTTCTTATCCACTCTGCACTCTCAAAAGCCTACGAAGCATTTGCTTTATAACTACGAAGAAGATGGAGGCATCGTAGAATTGCTTCGTATTACGAAGAATTTCGCGTCACAAGACGAAGCATTTCTTCGAAGATTTTGCAATAGCTTCGTTTTCTTCGTATTACGAAGCGATTCTTCGTAGAGTTTTTACAGTGTGCGAACTGAATTGTAGAGACGGTAGGCTCTTCTAAGGAGTTAACTGAATGGTGTTCGCTTCCGGCGTGCCTTATAAGGGAGTGGACACGGCATATGCTCACAAATGCGCCTGTCCAACAGACGATGGGAAGCGAAAACCTTCTGATTGACTCTCTAGGAGAGATTACCATGTTCACCGTTCGGTTTGAAGAGCACGCCACATCTACGTTTCACTCGAAACTTCCTCCGCATGGCGAAAACAACGTCCCGGTTTCCCGGGCGCACACTGGAAAAATACCCTGTTTTTCCAGTGTGCGCCTGGGAAATCCGAACTTTGTTTTTGCCGTGCGGGCCTGCATGCGCGCCGCACAAGGCCGTTGTACTAGAGATTACCTCTCTGTCTCTCTCGAAACTCACAGCGACGCTCAGAGCACCGGTGCAGGCGGCAAAAAGCCTAGGCGCGTTTTGAGCTCTAGAGTCGCTCAACAGGCCTGGAACCTAACGTGTGACTCCACCGATGGATTCCTCATTCGGAGAGCAATCCGTTGGTCGGGTTACATGTTCGGTTCGAGTCCCTGTTTAGCGACTCTGAAGCTCAAAGCGCGTCAGGGGCTTTGGCCGGCCGCGCCGGTGTTCTATTCCTCTGAACTCTCGTTCCAGGAACGTGACGTCACGTTCAAACGAGCGTGGCAAAATGTCACGTTCGTTTGAGCATTGTGTCGCATTCGTTTGGGTGTGAATCGGCCAAAAATTAGCTTGTTTACATTCAAAAGAACGAGACACTATGCTCAAACGAACGTGACATTTTGTCACGTTCGTTTTAACGCGATGTCAGGTTCCTGGAATGAGAGTGTGTGCGACGGTCGGGCAGAGGCGCTGAACCCGAATTGATACTACTGCACGGCAAAACCAACATCCGGGTTTCCCAGGCGCACCCTGGAAAAACAGGGCATTTTTCCAGGGTGCGCCTGGGAAACCCGGACGTTGGTTTTGCCGTGTGTAGGAAGTGTAGCGTGCGGCTGTTTTGCCATGGCTTTAGCTATCATGCATTGTATTTTGCTCCCATGTTTGAGTCTTGTGCCGCACCTAGTTTGGCAAGCTATTGTTGCTGCACATCAAACTCTTGTGTTTTTTTTTTACTGCTTAATAGTACGCCAGTCAAGCACAATTGTGCATGCACGCACGTAACGACGTAACGTGTGTATGCCATTATGTTTAGATTTGTACGTATTATGCATCGTCCTGCATAAAGTGTACACACTGATGCATTCACACACCTTTACGTACGTATCTGCGCATGCACAATTATGTATTACAAAGTCCACAGGAGTTCAGTGTATGGCTACTGTCTCCCGCAATTGTGTGCGTTCCTGGGTCCGTGAAGAATAGGGTAGTCCAAAGAAGCTCCGACCCTGAAGCAGAAGAACTAAATCGGAAGTTAGACATGACAGTTTCTATGAGAAATATACGCGGTGGGTGAGGTCCAGATCTCATCCGCCGCGTACATTTCACACAGAAACTTTTATTTCTGACTTCCGTTTTTGATCTTCTGCTTTAGGGCCAGAGCTTCTTTGAAGTACCCTTTTCCACCCATGCCTTTTGATTTATCGATATTTTGACTGGAAAGTGTATCGGTGCATCTGAGTACATGCTGAACAGAGTTTGCCGTGAATCCTCAGCGCACCGAAGCCTTCGTTGGGATTTTCCTGCCCTTACGAGTGGCTTTCCAAGGCGATGTCCTCGAACTCTCTCCTTGGTAGTGGCCTTTCAAGGCATCCTCCTCGAACTCTCTCCTTGGGGATGGCTCAGTGGCCTTTCAAGGCATCCTCCTCGAACTCTCTCCTTGGGGATGGCTCGAACTCCTTGAGAGTGGCTTTTCAAGGCGATATCCTCGAACTCTCTCCTCGGTAGTGGCCTTTCAAGGCATCCTCCTCGAACTCTCTCCTTGGTAGTGGCCTTTCAAGGCATCCTCCTCGAACTCTCTCCTTGGGGATGGCTCGAACTCCTTGAGAGTGGCTTTTCAAGGCGATATCCTCGAACTCTCTCCTTGGTAGTGGCCTTTCTAGGCAATCTCCCCAAACAATCCTGGTAGTCGCCTTTCCACACTACTCTACAAATCGAAGAGCGTACATTGTATGCTCTAACTGGGGCATGCCTGCAAGCGCGCTCTAGTTGGCGCATGCCTGCCAAACATGCACACTGTGCGAAAAAACCACAGTGAATCCCGTTAATTTTTTTGCCGGGATTCACTGTAGTTCAGAACACAGGATTTACCGTGCCTGGCTACAGTATCTACTGTACCTGGTACAGGATATTCCGTACTCCACCCCTGTGGTACAGTAAATCCCGTACAAAGTACAGTAGATCCTGTTAAAAAAGTACAGTAAATCCTGTCCTCTGAACTACAGTGACAGCTGTACTAATCACAACAGGATTTACTGTGATTTTTTTCCCTCGAAGGGAAGGAATTCTTCTCCGTGTTCGTCGGCCTTCTGGCATGTCCTTTCTAGTAGTTGGCAAAATGGGACATGCTCAGGTTTTACTCCTTGGAACAGGAGTACACATAAGAGGTCTTGGTCGTCGATAGGCCGACCTGTCTCCATAATCCGTTGCTCTGCGGCCTGGAATTCCATAGCGTATTCCTTGAGCCCTTGAGTCTGGCGCAGGAGGTGCATACATGCCATGTACACGCTAACTGAAGCATGCGTCTAGTGCACAAGGGATGGGAAGTTGCCTGCATCAGAAAGCGTGTACATGGCATGTGTGCACTAGTAAGTGCATGCTTGGCAGGCATGCGGTAGCTAGAGCGTGCTTACAGCAATGTACACTTTTCGCTTTCGTAGAGCAGGCGATCTCTTCCCTCAAACTTCCT